GGGCCCTACAGTTTACTTGAATAATCACAAACACTAGATGTAACCATCTGTACAGAAGTCTGCTGTCCTTGTAATAATAATGATAATAATAATAATAATAATAGTATTGTGATGGCAGCATCTCATTTGATCTTCAAAGAAGAGGGACGATATCTACTCGGTAGATAGCAGTGTCCCCATTCCGCAGATGAGTTAACAGAAGCTCCAAGAGGTGACATGAGCCACGTAAGTGCACACAGATTGGAAGAGCTGGGTCTAAAACTTAAACCATATCCAACATCTAATCCTTTATTCTTATTACTAAAACACACTGCATGGCACATCCTCAGGAAATGTGTGGTGATCAACAAACACAAAGGAGCTGGTCAGGAACTGGTGAGCTCACAAATATTGAGCATCTAGTACATTCCAGACTTGCCCTCTGACTAGGGGGATTCCCACCCTTGTGGGGCTATAGAGGGGAAGACCACCATCCAATAAATAGTGACACTGATGCTCTTAAGAGAAACTCCACTCACCTGCTCATAACCAACGTACCGAATAAACTGATGCTCACTCTGCTTCTGTAAAATGTGCTGACTGATCCCATGGTCTACCAAGGACTGGCAGCCTGGGCCATCCCTGCACAACCAGGGACTCCGCCAATGGACGCTCTGCTCTGGCGCTCCTGTTGGGCTGGCTGAGCCTTTCTCAGAGCTGTGCTGTGGTCTGAGGCTCTTCCTGCGCAGTCCTCCTTCCCTCCCCCTCTCCTTTCCCAGGTGTCAGACCCACCCATAGTCTGAAGGCTCTGCCTGCTCAGTCCTGTCCCCTCCCTCTTTCACTCCACAGAGGTTTCCTCCAAGAAATCCTGTGCACTTCTGGTTCCATCTCAGTGCCTGCTTCCCAGAGGACCTGACCTCCCTGAGCATCCTGCAGAGTGAGGTTCACCCAGAGGCCTGATGCAGGGGCAACTAGTGTAAGAGATGGAAAACAGAGCTCCTGGAGGAAGGAGTGATGGGAACAGGCGTGGCTGGTGAGAGAAACACTTCAAAACTAAATGACTCCACTTCTTTCTGGTGGTCACACTTGGGTGACTCTTTGAAACCCTCTGTGCCTCAGTTTCCTTCTGTGCAAAATGGGAATAATGATGTTACCTCCTTCCTAGGGCTTTTTGATTCAGTGAGATAATCCATGTGCAAGAGCTCAGAGCTGTGTCCTGGGGAGGCCATGGAAGAGACCCAGGGCAGGACTGAGCAGAGGCCTGCCTGGAGCCCCACGGGGGTCCAGGGTGGTCTCACCTTTCTGTGGCCTCTGTAGTCTCTTAAATAGCCTCCTCAGCTCCTCATGCAGAAATGAGACTCAGGGGTGGCACAAGCCCCTGTCCTCTCTGCCCATAAATGTAGCCCCAGGAAAAAAACCTCTGTGGGGGTTTTGACTGGGAGATGTGGTGTCACTATGGCAGTCTGACTACTATCCGGGTCATTTGATCCCTGGAAACTGCCAGATCAGATAATGCTGTAGGTGTGCGTGACTCTCTGCGTCAGATGTCCTGAGTAAGGGCCCTTGTCTCCGGGTCCCATGGACACCATCTCCCTTTCAGTGAGCCTCAAGCGGAAGCTGGTTTCAGCTGGTGTGTTCAAGCTCAAAGTTTAGGAGAGGATGCTAATTTAGAGGTCTACACTTACCCCTCTATCGTGTGGCTTGATCCATGATGGTGCAGAGGCTCACTAACTAACAAAGGTTGAAATACTGGAATTTGCAAATTTTTACATTAGGAAACATTTTAATTGGAGAGTAATGTATGTCCATAAGTGTGAAAATAAGAAGTGTACAGCTCACGCGTTTCACAGAGAACACGCCTGTGGAACCAGCACCCAGACCAACAAAAGGAACATTATCAGCCCCCACCATCCGCCAGACCCCTTCCAGCCACGACCTCCCCCCAAGTGTAACCACTCTTCTGACTTCCAGCTGCCTGGTTCCTTTTGCAGTTTTGAACTTGATGTAAATGGCAGCACACGGCATCTCTGGGTCTGGCTTCTTTCTTGACATCATGTGTGACATCCATCCACACGGCGTGGAAGCAGTAGATCGTTCATTCTCATGCGGATGGTATTCTGCTGGGTGAATACAGCACAATTGAGCCATTCTTCCAGTGAGGGACATTTGAGCTGACTCCAGTTTGAGGCTATTACAAATAGTGCATTCTAGTATGCGTAGTTTTGTGAAAATTTATGCATATTTGTGTTAAGCATCAGAGTTTTACTATTTAACAATATAAATTGGAAAGGGGTGAGTTTATGATATTATTCTTCTCGATCTCTTTCATGATGATATAAATATGCTTTGGGATTGGGAGAGAAAGGGGTGAAGTCACACTAGGACGCATCCTGCTGCCTCTGGGATCTGTGTCCCAGTTTTAGCAGGTCCCCATATGACTATCAACTGGCCCCTGGAGGAAAGAGGGTTTCTGCAGGTTTTGTGGGAAGAGTTTCGAGCAAGGCCCCATACAGCATCTCACTCGGGGGGTGAGGGGGGGTCCCTCACAGGATGCTCCTCAGACCCTCAACTCTGCCTCCCATGCACCCCACGACCTCAGGCAACTTACTCAACCTCTCCTGTCTCAGAGGTTTCATCTGTAAGGAACGGTTAGGAATGGATGATCTTTTGGTGCACTGGAGCATTTGCTTCTGTTGGATGGCTACCTAGGAGTGGAAATTCTGCTCATGGGCAGGGTGTATATTCAGCTTTAGGAGGTAATGCCACACACGTTTTCCAAGTGTTTGTACCAATTCACACTCCTACCAGCAGCATATTCAATTTATACTCTTTCCACATTCTCTCTAGCACTTGGGATGGTCAGTCTTCATAACGTTAGCGCAGTAGTGTCTCCCTGCAGTGTAAATAGGCATGCCCTGGATTTCTGACGGGGCTGAGCACCTTTTAATGACTTTATCAGCTCTCTGAACATCCCCTTTTGTTAACGTCTGTCCCAGTTTCTTGACCATTTGGTTGGGTTGTCTGTCTTTAACTTGTTGATTTGTGCAAGTTCTCTGTAAATTCTGGATAGGAGCCCATAGTTAGTTACGTGTTTTGAAAATATCTGTTCCCACTCTATGGCTTGACTTTTCGCTCTCTTAATGGTGTATTTAGTGAAGAGAAGTTCTTATGGCTTCAGTGTAATGAAACATATCAGGGTTTTCCTTTATAGATAGTGACTTTTGCCTTGTTTAAGAAAGCTTTCTCTACCCCAAGGTTACAAGCATTATCTCCGCTGCTGGCTTCTACAAACTTTGTTGATTTGCCTCTCACATTTAGATCCACAACCCAGCCAGGAGTGATTTGAGTGTGTGGCGTGAGGTAGGGGGACGGGAAAACTCCATATTGAACAGATAGCCGGTCTCCCCACATCCCTCTATAGACTCAGTGCCACTCCAATCCAAACCCAATAGGACTTTTGTTGTTGTATGAAGGACCTGAGAATGGAGTCTAAAATTTATATGCAAATGCCAAAGGCCAAGAATAGCTAAGATAACCTTTCAGGGGAAGAACAAAGAAAGTCCTGGTACCAAGACTATTGTAAAGCTAAAGTAATTGAGACTGTGTGATATGAGCACAAAGAACCAAGCTGACCTCTGGACCCAGTGAAGAGGCCTGAACCAGCCCAGACACACACACACACACACACACACACGCACGCACGCACATGGAGACATATGCTTTGTGACAAAGGTGGTCCCACACAGCAGGGGGAGAAAGACAGTTCTTTCAATAAATGATGACAGGTCGATTGGACATCCAGATGTCCCAGGTCCGGCCTCCTGTCACGTTCAAGCGGAGCCTGCTCCTGCCTGCCTCGACCGCAGGCCCCGCCCCAAGGTCACGTGACACCCGGCCCCGCCCCCTCGCTCCCCCTCCCCCTGTGGTTCCTGAGGACCAGCTCTCTAGGACTCCAAGCTGCCGAGCCCAGTGAGCCCCTGGTGGGCGGCGAGCCCTGGGGCGGGGTGTGGGAGCCTCAGGGACCTGTCAGTGTCGCCTGTGGCGGCTGCGTCTCGGGGCTGTTTGGGGTCCGAAGGTGCAGGCGCCTCCCGGGAACCCCTTCTCCCCACCCACCGCATCCGTATCCAGGCCCCCACCCCCCTTGGCCTTCCTTGGCTGGTGGGCCGCCGACCGTTATCCGGCGTGGGGTCCCCACCCTTAGACCCCAGAGTCCTGGGCAAGCGGCTTCGGGGATGGGGGCTGGGTTCTGACCAGAGCACGTTCGCGGGGCCCACGGTAAAGGGTGGTCTGGAGCTAATCTGCGCCCATTGGGCGCCAGGATCCTAGAGGGTGCAGCCACCCTGAGTTAATGGAGGAGCCTCTGGCATACTCCAGAAGCAAATGGAAACTCTGGGGCCTCTCTAAGGATGCGAATGCCAGAGGTGAGGTTGGGTGAGGTGAGGCCTCAGGATGGGAGACACCCCCCTCCAGCGCTGCAGGCCCACTTAGTGGGTGGCTGGCCCATGGTGTGCACTTGGACAGCCCCTGGGCCCTCATGACCCGGAGTACTCTCACCCACTCCCCTTCAGCCAGCCGGGGGTGCCCCCTGGATCCTGCCTCTCTGTACTGCTCCCAGTTAAATTCCCAGAGGAGGAAAAAAACCTAAGCAAACAGATTCTCTCCAGGGGAGAAACCTTGAGTCTAATTAGCCTTTAGGCTGCTCCTTGAGAAATCCTTTATATTCTTCCAGGCCAGCGGGGATGGAGGGAGAGAAGGGCCCCAGCGTTTGGGCAGGTAGGATTCAGGAGAGCAGTGAGCAGGGGAACGGGGACACTCCACCTTTGCTTGAGACCCTCCCTGCACAGGTTGTTGGCTTTCTCCCTCAGACCAGCAAGAGGGGGATTTAACCCATCTGGGTCAGACGCCCGGGAGGGGAGACAGATTGTGCTGCTCCTGATGCCCTTCGACCCCTGCCCTGTTGCTGGGTTCTCTGAAGCTGGCACCCTGACTGCTGGTCCGTGTCACCCCCACACCCACCCCACGCATGCCCTCTTCTGTGAAGAGACTGAGACTGACCAGAGCCTCAGTGCCCTGCATGGCGCCCCCAAGAGGCCTGCTGTTGCTCCCCTGAGGTGGCACAGAGGAGGCTGCGCATCCTGGCCTGGCTGGTTGACCACTCTGTGCAAGCAGAGTGGCTGAAATGGACTTCTCTGCTGGGCTCTGAGTCCAGCTCAAGGTCATGCCCCAGTCAGCCACCTGTGCTGAGGGGGCTGACTCCTGCCCCAGGTGAGATGTCTGCCCCTGCTGCTGGCCACATCCCCTCCCTTCCCTGACCCCACCCGGCCTCAGTGCCCACCCAGAAGCAGAGTAGAAATGCAGTGTCCACTCCAGACAAACGAGGCACGCTGGCATCCAGGCCCATGGGGCCCAAGAAGCCTTGGTTTACAGTCTAGAGCATGTGACTGCCTTTGGGTAGACACAGGCCACTGTAACTTCTCTTGTCCCAATTGTCAAACACGGAGAATGAGCTAGCTGTGGATTGTGTGATGGGGCCAGCGGGATGACTCTCCGTAGCCTTAAGAACGCTTCCTCACACACTCACACGGAAGCACCCAGGCCTTTGTGCTCCCGCAGGTACCACCCGAGGCCCCAGTGGAGTGTGGGGAGAAAAGAGGTCTCCTGGTCACTGCAGGTCACACCCGTGGGTGATAGAGGGTGAGCGTTTACCCTCCCTGTGTGCACTGGTGTGCCCAGCGTACACAATGGGCACACAAATCCCTGTGCCCAGACATCTACAGCAGGGATGCCGTGGGTGTGCCCCCTGCGCCCTGGGTGCTCATCAGTCTCTCTTCCCAACAGTACGGCCTCTACCGCCTCATGGGGCACTTCGTCCATTTCTTCCTGGGCACCTCCTGGATAGTGACTCTGGGGCCCACGGCCATCAAGTCCCTCCTGGTCTCCTACACCTTCCATGAGCCCACGTGTGCTGAGGTGCTGGCCTTCCTGGGGGGCTGCATGCACGTAGCCCTGGGGCTCCAGCTCTTGGGTAAGACTCTGAGGCCCTCTTGCTTTGGTGGGGGGCTTCCCTTTGCTCTTCCTGGGGTCCTAGACTCCTGTCTCCTTGGGATGCCCTGCCCTCAGCATTTCCTTCTTTGCATTCAAAGGGCTGACCCTGTGTGTGTGTGTGTGTGTGTGTTGGAAAGGTACCCTCCACCCTCCGCCCAAGCCCATTCTGCTCAGAGGTCAGGACACTTGGGGAAATGTCCAGGGCCTCAGACCCTAGCCTCCCTTTCCTGCTCTCCAAACCAGCCCAAAAAGGACGTGTCACCCACCAGTCCCACCCACACCACTTCTCCCAGCCCACGTCCACCCATGTCCTCTGGGACCGAGCAGAGCTGCGACTGACTCAGTATTCCCTCTTGGTCAGCCAGGTTCCTGCTGGACGTCATCTCCTGCCCCGTCAGTCATGAAGGGTCCCACCCCCGCTGCTCCTGTCACCATCGGCCTTGGGCAGATCAAGGTGGGCTCGCTAGTTGGCGCCGCGGCACCTGCTGAGTAGCAAGACCATAGCGGTCCTGGTATGTGCGGACCACACGACACCTTGCTGTTCCAGAGCTCAGAGCACACGGTGCTCCCATGGGTCCCATGAATAAAACGACCCCTCAGGGGAGATGTTTGGGGAGGGTCAGATTCTACAGCAGGTGATTTGAGGGACCGGAAATGACAGGCCCTGCTCTTTTGGAGTTTTCGCGCCGGAGTGCTTCGTTCCCTCACAGAGTGGTTCTGTTCCGCTGCCTCTACGACACACTCAGCCAGCAGCCTTCACAGGTCACGAGCTTCCTGCCCAAATTTCCACAAGCAAATGATTCCTCCATGCCTATTTACCTAGAGTTTTTCATTTTTATGTCCTTTTCCAGTTTCTGTTGACTGTTTCAAATGCCCTGCTTCTCTATGTTTCTGTTTAAACCTTTATGAAAGTGCTATATCAGTGACCATCGGTTATCTGAGGACGTCACTGATTCTGCTCTCCCTGGGTTTGAGGTTCCTGGGGGCAGGAGCTGTCGTGCTCCCTACCGCAGCCGCCCAGCGCTGTACTTGGTATAAAGCAGGTCAGTGCTCAGGTGGGTGTGCAGAATGGGCCCGAGCTGCATTGTACAAAGGAAGTCGTGGGCCCCTGGTGGTGGCTGCAGGGCCATGCCCCTGCCTCGTGACCTGGTGTCCCCACACCGGCCTCTCCAAGGCCTGGTTCCCACGGCCAGGCTCTGCTCCGGGCTGGCCCATGACAGTCTTCCCTAAGGGAGGGCAGTGAGCAGGTCAAGGACAGGAGGAGATGGGAGTGAGAGTCAAGCAGCTGACACCTCTTCCCTCTCGCTCTGTGCGGGGCCTGGATTCACACATTCCCCCTGCACACCCCTGGGAGGCAGGCTGCTCATCTCTCCATTTAGAGAGGAGGAAACCCCTTACAAAGGTGCGGGTGATGTGACTTCTATATTACATACACACATGTCAGGGGAAGCTTGGCAAATGCTGTTTCATGGGAAAGGCTGTGCTTTATTCTGGAAACAACATCCTTCCTTGTCAGTGTCAAGAATGTTCCTTGATCATAATGTTCCTATGATCAAATGTGGGTCTAGGGCAGCTTCTCTATGCGTTCGTACTTGGTGACCCGAGGCCTCCAAGGTCATTGAACCTGGACTAGGTCAGGACAGCCATCTGGTCCCCTAGGCTGGGGTGGGGGTGGGGGTCCTCCTGACCTGCCCAGGACAGAAGGGGCGGAGGTGCAGGTTGGAGGTGTCACCTGGCTAAGTAGCGGGGACTTCTGCGGCACCAACTCCTGAGGCACCTCCGCCTGGTGAGCAGTGTGCGCCCAGGGGAGTGTACTGTGGTCGGTGATGGTCGCGTGAACTGAAGCGGGGACAGAGACGGGCATCGAGAACAGGTGCACAGCTTTGTGACAAATCCGAATGTCTTTGTATCTGGTTTGCTCACTCGTGGGAGGCACATTAAAGCCTGATGGATTTTAACAGACCCCTGCCCTGAAGACTCACTGCGAAAGCACAGAATTTCATGATCCTTTGTTGCTCTCCTGCTAGTCGCGCGGATCCGCCTCTGTGTCTATCATCTTATACAGAATTCAGCGTGAGATTCAGGGTCAATGAAGAGCCCTTTCAAAGCACTGTTGCATCCTTTTCAGTTGTATCCTTAAGGCATCTGTGACTTCTGGAATCCACTCAAACCACCAGGATGAGAGTCCCTCCAATGACTACGAATGGAATTTTCAGAAAGTTTTAGTTTTACAACTGAGAATCTGCAAGATTCAATTCTTCATAACTCCAAAATATATATTTCTTAATATTTTAGGTTTTCAAAAACTGATGCTTTTGAAAGAGATACTGTTAATTGGGCTCTGTCACTTTTAGCTCATTGTTGGCATGGAGCAGCAATAAAGGTGGGCCCACTTTCCTATTCAGGGTGCAGATCCTTGTAAGCCAAACTCTTACACTTCTTTCCATTTGATGACTTCCCTGGGTTCCCCTCCCCCTGAAGTATGATGATTCTCTCCTGACACATGTGAATATGTTTTCTTAAACTTTCGGTGCCGTTTCCTAAAAATTAAAACGTGGAAATCCTCGTGAGTATTTCAGGATGTCCTGGTACCTAGAACGTTGACTAATAGAATTCCTCTGGGTTTGTATTCCCTAGTTCAGATCCGTTAAAGTGAGTGAACAAGATTCTGTACTCCCTTCCGGGGGTCACTTTCTATGTTGACGATGCACAACGCAGTCTTTTAATCATCATATCAGCTTTAATGAGGCATAGTTCACGTTCAATACAAGTCACCCTTGAAGGTGTGCAATTCAGAGTGTTTAATAGAGTCACAGAATTGTGCAACATCACCACAATTGATTTAGAACTTTCCACCATCCCTCCAAAAGGAACCCCTCCCTCGTTAGGAGACAGTCTCATTTCCCCGACCCCTAAGGCCAAGGCAAACACAAATGCGCTTTCTATTTCTATGGACTGGCGTATTTTGAACATTCCGTGTAAATGGAACCATACAGTGTCTGACCTTCTGTGTCCGGCTTCTTTCACTCAGCAGAATGGTTTCAAGGCCCATCCATGTTGTGCCATGTGTCAGCCCCTCACTGATTTTGATTGTGAATAAAATCCTGTCATAGGGCTGTAGCACAGTGCATTTCTGCTTTCCTCAGTGGGTAGACATTTGAGTATTTTCCCCTTGTTGGCTATTATGAGTATTCCTGCTATGAACATTCTGTTCAAGTTCACTTTTTCGGGGTGTATACCTCAGAGTGGAATTGCTGAGTCATATGGTAGCTCTCTGTTTCACGATCTGATGCCCAGAAGAATTTTTTCCAAGTGACTGCACCATGTTGCATCCTGCAGCAGCTGTGATGGTTCCGTTTCTCCACATCTCACCAACACTACCATCTGTCTTTTGCATTCTAGCTGGGCTATGGGTGTGAAATGATATCTCACTGTGGTTTGGGTTGGTATTCTCTGATGGCTGATGATGTTGGACATCTTTTCATGAGCTTAACGGCCGTTTGTCTATCTTCTTTGGAGAAATGTCTGTTCAGCTCATTGGCCCATTTTTCACTTGGGTTATTTGTCTTTTTATAACTGAGTGGTCAAGTCCTTTACATATTCGAGGTATGTTTCTTATCAGATAGGCGAGTTGCAAACTTTTCTCTATATTGTGGATTGTCTTTCACTTTGTTAATGGAGTCCTTTGAATCACAAAAGTTTTGCACTTTAGCGATATCTAATTTATGCGTAATAGAGTCTTACTCGTTGGAAATGATTTAGACATTAAATCATAACCTCATCAATAGTTTGGTGGTATAAAATAAAAGTTAAACTTGAAAGGGTCAGGGAAAGGTTTGAATTAGTTTATTTCAAGATTTGCTGTAGATCCAAAGGAACTCAAAGGGAAGATATCATTTCCCTGTTCAAATATTTCTCTATTGTCCTTTTAATGTTCAGTTAATCAGGAATCAGAGCCCCTCCTCATTTCTGATATTGGCAATAGGTGTTTTCTCTCTTTTATTTTTCCAATTAGCCTGGCTAGAGGTTTATGCATTTTTTGATCTTTTCAAAGACCTAGTTTTGCTTTTTGGATTTCTCTATTGACTTCCCATTTCCAATCTCATTAATTTCTGCTGTAATTTTTATTATTTCCTTTCCTCTGTTTGCTTTGGGCTTCCTTTGTTCTTCTTCTCTAGCTTAGATATTGTGTCAGATCTTTTTTGTTCTAATATGTGCATTTACTGCAATACATTTCCCTCCAGGTTCTGCTTCCACTGCATTCCACACATTTTAATAAGTTGTATATTTGTTTTTATTTGGTGGAAAATATTTGCAATTTCTCTTAAGACTTCTTTTTTGGTCCATATGTTGTTTAATCTGCAAATATTTTGGGCTTTTCCAGCTATCTTTCTGTTTGTATTTTCTATTTTAGAGTACTCTTTGGTCTGAGAACATACTTTGTATGATTTCTGTTGTAAATTTGTTGAGGTGTGGGATGTTTTCACCCAGAAGGTGATCTATCTGTGAATGTTGTGTGTGAGCTTTTGAGGACTGTGTATTCTGCTCTTTTGGATGCAGTGTCTTAGAGATGATCATTAGCCCTGTGGGTGGATGGCTCGGTTCACTTCATCCTTGCTGATGTTCTGCCTGCTGCATCGACGGTTCCTGAGAGAGCAGGGTTAGTGCCGTCGTGGTGGATTTCTCTATTTCTGTGTCCATCCACTGTGATCGTTGATTTGCCTGTTTCTCGTTGCAGTTTTATTAGTTTTTCCTCCGTTATTTTGATGTTCTGTTGTTAGAGGCGAGTACGTTAAGGACTGTTCTGTCTTCTTGGAGAATTGACCCCTTTAACATCATGGCATGCCTGTCTTTGTCCCTGAGAATTGTCCTTGTTCTGAGGTCGTCTTTGTCTGAAATTAATACAGCTCCTCTAGCTTTCTTTGGATGTGTGTTCCTGCCTTGTCTTGTTCTGTCCCTTTGCCTCTAACCTAGCTGTGTCTTTATAATTAAAGTGGGTTTTGTGTAGACAGCATAGAGTTGGGTCTTTTTTTTTTAATGCATTCTGATGGTCGCTGTGTTTTAATGGCTGTGGTTAGACCGTTCCTATTTAAAGTAATAACTGATATAGTTGGATTAATAGCCACCACATTTGTAACTGTTTTCTGTCCATTGTGCTTGTTCTTTCTTTTTGTGTCTTATGCTTTTTTTGGGGGGGAGGGGTTTGTGAGGTCGATTTGCCCTGAGCTAACATCAGTGCCAAGCTTTCTCCACTCTGTCTGTGGGACACTGCCACAGTGTAGCTTGATGAGCGGTGTGTAGGTCCCTTCCTGGGATCCAAAGCAGCAAACTGCAGGCCACCGGAAAGGAGCACGCAAAGCTAACCACTACACCACTGGGCCAGCCCCACTTTATTTGTTTTATACTTTTAAATTATTTTTTGCTTTTTCTGGTGTTAACTGAGCATTTCATATGATTCCACGTTTTCTTTTCTTTTAGTGTATCCGTTATACTTCTTTTACAGTTTTTAAATGGTTTCCCTACAGCTCATAATATAAATTTACGGCTAACCTCACTTCACTTTAAAATGACACTGTATTTCTTTATGGTTAGTTCGGGTCCCTTATGACAGAGTCTTCCCAATTCCTCCCTCGCATCCCTTATAAAATGGCTCTCCTACGCTTGACTTATCCATCAACTGTTGTCACCAAATGTATTTTTACTTTGAACAAGATGATTCTGCTAGACGACTTCAGAATAAGAAAAGTAAAACCTGAGCACTATTTTATTTTACCTTCATTTATTGCTTCTCTGCACTCTTCCTTCCTTTAAAAGATCTAACTTTCTGACCTACATCATTTCCCTTCTCTGAAGAACATCTTTGAACATTTCCTGCAAGCCAGGTTAGGCAGAGACAAATTCAGTCTTTATTTATCTTAGAAATTCTTTATTTCTCTTCTTTTTATTTTTTAATTTTTGGTGAGGAAGATTAGCCCTGAGCTAACATCTGTTGCCAATCGTCTGCTTTTTGCATGAGGAAGATCGTTGCTGAGCTAACATCTGTGCCAATCCTCCTGTTTTTGTATGTGGGACGACACCACAGCATGGCTTGATGAGTGGTGTATAGGTCTCCACCCAGGATCCAAACCTGAGAACCTGGGGCTGTTGAAGCAGAGAGCACAAACTCAACCACTACACCCCTAGACCAGCCCTACGTCTCATCATTTTGAAGGAGAAATTTGATGGGTAAAAATTCGATATTGTTGGGGATTTTTTGTTTCAAGACTTTAAATATTTCACTCCACTCTCTTCTTGTCCGCATGGTTTCTGAAGAGGAATTCAATATAATTCTTACACTAGTTTCTCTATGGGTAAGATTATTTCCCCTCTCTGTCTTCTTTCAAGATTTTCTCTTTGTCTTTGTTTTTCTGAAGGTTGAGTATGATTTACAAGGTGTCAATCACTTGTCATTTATCCTGCTTGATGTTCTCTGAGATTCCTGGATCTGTGGTGTGATGTATGTTAAATAAAAGTTTTTGTCCACTAGTGTTTCAAATATTTCTTCTGGTTCTTCCTCCCTCCCTCCCTCCCTCCCTCCCTCCTCTCTCCCATCTACCCTTCCCTCCCTCCCTCCCTCTTGTATTCTCTTTTCACAGATGTTACACCTTTTGTAATTGTCCCAGCATTCCTGGATATTTGTTTCCACATTATTCAGTACTTTTCCTCTTCTTTTTAGTTTGAGAGGTTTCTTGTGACATTTCTTTAAGCTCATTGATTCTTTGCTCTGTCATGCCCAGTTTTTTCACCAGCTGATCAAGAGCATGCTCGCTTTCTGTTACAGTATTTTTGGTTTCTACCATTTCCTTTAGATCCTTTCTTAGAATTCCTGTCGCTCTGCTTACACTGGCCAACAGTGCATGCATGTTGTCCACTTTTTCTATGGGAACCCTTAGCCTATTCACTACACCTGTTTTAGATTTCCAGTCTAATAGTTCCAAAATCTCCGTCGTATCCCAGTCTGCTTCTGATGCCTGCTCTGTCTCTTCAAACTGTGGCTTTGGCCTTTCCGTGTGCCTTGCACTTTTTGGTCGAAGGATGGCCGTGATGTATGGGGTCTGAACAACTTGATAAATGGGCCTTTCCTGTGAGGTTCTGATGTCGTAGGAGTTAAGCCATGTTAACTGTTTGATGCTTGATCAGGTGTCAGAAGCTCTAATTTACTCTAGGTCCTTGGTTTTCTCCAGGGTTTGTCGTTGTGTATTTTGTCTCCCCTCTTCTCTTTGGGTTTGCCTTTATACTACTTCTTGAGTCAGACCTGAGACTGGAAGTGTTTTCCGCTGAACCCCCTATTGATCCAGGAGCCATATTAACGCGCTGGGAACGTTTAGGGGAGGGACGAGTGTTCTGAATTCCTGTGATCATCTCTCAGGGTTTTTGTGAGCCTGTGACCCTGGGATTTGATCTTCACAAGTGCTTCTCAGACTTTTTGTGCCATGGGTGAGACAATGCTCGAGGGAGCTG